AGGCCCGACCCATGAACGTGGACACACTCTGGACCTGGTTTTCTCGATGGGGCAGGAAGAGGGTGGTCTGAGGGTGAGGAATTTATGTCTGACACCCCTGTCATGGTCAGATCACTTCCTCGTGAGGTTTGTGCTTGAGAGCGGCGTCTCCCTCTGTAAGGGTGCGGACTCGATTGTGTGGGTTCGCCCCCAGAGCTGGATGGATCCGGATGGATTCCTGAAGGCCCTGGGGGAGTTTCTGGCTGACAAGACTGGTGCTCCTGTCGAGGCTCTGGTCGAACTATGGAATGGGGAGATGACTAGGGCTGTTGACACGACTAGGGCTGTTGCTCCTAAGTGTCCTCTCCCGCCAGGCAGAGCCCACTCTTCCCCTTGGTATACATCTGAATTGCGGGCGATGAAGCAGGCCGGGAGACGGCTAGAGCATAGGTGGAGGAGATCACGGGATGAGTCTGACTGAACACACTTAAGAACCCATTATCGGGCCTATGCTGTGGCGGTGAGGGCAGCGAAAAAGAAATTCTTCTCCGTTTCCATTGCCTCCTCAAAATGCTGTCCGGCGGAGCTTTTTCGGGTGGTACAAGGGCTGGTCCGTCCTGGCCCTAAGAAAGATCTGGTTCCACCCTCAAAGGACCGCTGTGATGACTTTGCCAAGCATTTCAGGGAGAAAATCACTCAGATTCATCACGAGCTAGACTCTACTAGTGATTCAGAGGCTTCTGGGGAGATACCAATGTCGTTGTCTGGTCCAAACTTAATGGATGAATTTCAGTTATTGCGGCCTGATGATGTGGACAAGGTGCTTGGATGAGTACATCCCACAACTTGCCTATTGGACCCTTGCCCATCTTGGTTAATAAACAACGCCAAGCAAGGGATTGGGACCTGGATCTTGGAAGAGGTTAACACTTCTCTGAGGGAGGGTCGGGTATCTGCCCCTTTAAAGGAGACGGTAGTCCGACCGGTTCTGAAGAAAGCATCACTGGATCCAGAGATGGCCACTAATTATAGACCAGTGGCCAACATCCCATTTCTGGGCAAGGTGTTGGAGTGGGTGGTGGTGGGACAACTCCAAGCACTCTTGGATGAAACTGATTATCTGGACTCATTTCAGTCCAGCTTCAGACCCGGGTACGGTACTGAATCTGCCTTGGTCACCCTGTACAAAGGACAGGGGGAGTGCGTCCCTGTTGGTTCTCCTGGACCTCTCAGCGGCTTTCAATACCATCGACCATGGTATCCTTCTGGATAGGCTAGCGGAATTGGGGGTAGGAGGCACTGCTTTGCAGTGGTTCCGCTCCTATCTCAATGGCCGATTCCACAAGGTGGTGCTGGGAGACTATAGCTCTGCACCATGGCAGCTATGCCATGGAATACCACTGGGATCCATTTTGTCCCCTTTGCTGTTTTACATCTACACGAAACCGCTGGGAGAGGTCATCAGGAGGTGTGGGCTGCGGAATCATCAGTACGCTGATGATACCCAGCTCTACCTCTCATTCTCCACCAATCCAGGTGAGGCAGTGGCTGTGCTGAACCGGTGCCTGGCCGAGGTAATGGGCTGGATGAGGGCCAATAAACTGAAGCTCAATCCAGACAAGATGGAGGTCCTGCTGGTTGGTGGATCGGGCTTCGGGGATGGTGAATTGAACCTAGTCCTGAATGGGGTTGCACTCCCTCTTAGGGACAAGGTCCACAGCTTGGGAGTGCTCCTCGACCCAGAGCTTTCACTGGAAGCTCAGGTGACAGCGGTGGCGAGGAGTGCTTTCTTTCAGCTTCGGCTTATCCATCAGCTGCGTCCCTACCTGGAGAACGACTGCCTGGCAACAGTGACACACGCATTGGTGACTTCCCGACTTGACTTCTGTAATGCACTCTACGTGGGGCTGCCCTTGAAGACAGTCCGGATACTAAAATTGGTTCAAAAGAGAGCTGCCAGGCTGCTGACGGGGGCTGGGCATTATGTTCACATGACTCCAGTTCTCCGTCAGCTTCATTGGCTTCCCATTGAAGTCCAGGTCCAATTCAAGGTGTTGGTGATGACCTATAAAGCCCTTAACGGCTTGGGTCCTGGTTACCTGAAGGAGCGCTTACATCCATATATGCCCGCCCGCCCCTTGAGATCAGTGGGAGAGGCCCTTCTCCGGGAACCCTCCGGGAAGGATATTAGGAGGGTAAGTACGCAGAGGAGGGCTTTCTCTGCGGTGGTGCCCAATCTATGGAATGCGCTCCCCAGAGAGGTCCACCTGGTACCATCGTTATTTGTTTTTCGGTGCCAGGCAAAGACCTTTTTATTCAAACGTTATTTTAATTGTTAATATTATTTATTTATTTTACTCTTTGGCCAGGGCGACTTAATTTATATTGTTTTATGTTATTTATGTTTGTGAGCCGCCCCGAGGCTTCAGCGAATGGGGCGGCATAGAAGTTCCCTAAATAAATAATAAATAAACACATGTTTCTTCAGGGTGATCACTGCCCACCAATTTGAATTGTCTCTGTGGTACTTCTGTGCAAGTAACAGGGAAGATCTGGCTCCTTGGTTTACTGCTTGACTTGAGGGGATAGGTGGCTCCAAATGATGTATCATACCATACCAAGGACAACCTGAGTCCAGAACTTCTAGCATTTCCCACTAGCTGTAGGGCAGTAATTTTGTCTCACTCTGTCCCTTCACCCTGTGCTTTGGGTTCCAATTCCATTTTTTTCTCCATCTTGTAAGTTGGCAAGGAGCATACACTATTATACTAACTATTAAAGTATTTTGGGCCTAGAAAGGGATAATCCTAAGATAAGAGAGTCAGAATTTATGCAGCTGCAGAAATTTGAGAATACCACCAATTGTGGTTTCTCTAATCATAGTACCTGTCTTGGTGGGAATACTGCATCTGATAGAACTGTCCCTACCATGCAGGCTTAAAGTTATAAATGTCTCCCAGGTAGCTGGGAAATGTTGGTAGCTGCTGTTTTTTTCTTTCTGTAAAGATGCATAGGATTGTGCCTTGACGCTGCAGTTCTGTGCACATTTTTCTGGGGGTAAGCCCAATTGAACTCAATGGTAATTACTTCTCAGAAGACATACATAGGATTGCATTGTTGGTAACACATTTGCTACTCTTTCATGACACCCAAACTGAACTACTTGAAGTTTCTGCTGCACTATGCTTAACAATCTGCTAGGGTCCTGGTGCATGCTCTCCTATCTTGAAAAGAGCACCCTTCTTATACAGCTCCTTTAAAGCATCTTTTAGTTTCATGGGGTGGGAAGATTACAGCTCTTTTCACTCAGATAGCCATTTTGATGTTAAGAGCCACCCAACCTTATTTAACACGTGAATTGCAGACTTATGAAAAACAAAGGTGGCACCTGTTCTCATCTAGCTTGGCCCTTGTTTCAGGGGAACAAAAAAAAATGAGATGTTTTGTTGGCACCTCCCCCAAGTTGAGAATTGTATAAGCTGGTCTCCAGCTTGACAATGTAATGTGGAACTGAGCTTTGGCGCACTCTGCTTCAAAATACACCCCATGTAATTATTGGGGTGAATGGCTTCCATTCTGTGGGTAACACTAAAGAAGGTAAACAAAAATCAGGCTTACCTGAAGGAATAGGGGATGGTGAAAATGGCAACCAAGCTTGTTCTATCCCTCAGGGGATGTAATCCACAATGGATAATATAAATTTACTTTAGTACACTAATTGATAACATAATATAAACTTCTAAAGTTGAAATGGTATAGATACATTTGCTATAACAAACATTTTATCTCTTTTCTTGGTTTTTATTCCACAGGTATTTCAGCTTAAACACTTAGAAGTACTAAAGCTCCGAAATAACCCCATTAAATTCATTCCAGATGAGATCAACCAAATGAAGAGCCTTAAATACTTGGTTATGTCCTTCAATTTGCTGACCAGTCTGCCGTCTGGGTACTTAGATTTTTACTTAGATTTGATATATGCAAGATGGAGAGCAGTGAGGAGATGATGTCAATAACTGAGGGCATCTTTTCACACCTGTTTTGAGGGAGAACTGCCAGCTTGGGGGCAGCTGTGCCTGCCCAAGCTATTATGTCACTTGAAGCAAATTATGCTGTCTCCTCTTGAGGCACCATTTTTAATTTATACTCTGCTTTTTAGCCAAATAGCACTCCAATATTACCACAAAAAGATTCCAAATGGCATAAAACATTCAATAGAAGTGCACTTCAAAATGAATAATATGCATAAAATAATTACAGTCTCTTAGTTTCAACAGGCTTCATATCTATCCACAAAGAACTCGGTAAGATATATTTCCAATGATTGGTTGAAAACAATTGAATAGGCCCCATTAGATCTCGCTGGAGATCCTCCCACCCCCACTCCTGCCCTCATATTGTTCATTTCTTGATACCCAGAATGCTGGTTTCTGGTTCTCTCTGGAGGAACCCAAAGGTCCTTGGGAAGTTTTGCAGGGAATTGCAAAATGATAACCTCAGTAATTGCAGACATGCTTACATCAAAGCCAGCATTCCCAGTTCCAGAAGACATTAGGGTGCTTCCAGACAAGGCTTTTATGATACTGTTACTCTGCTTCATTCACATTATTTTGCAGGGGTCCAAATGATGATATCTTCTGTGTTTTCCTACTAACTTCCACTTTGGTCATTTTCCTTATGTCAGTAAATCCTTTAAGGAATTGCTGCACAAGGCCTTCCATCTGATAGTGCTAGGAACACCTCCTCAAGGCTGTTAAAAAAACACTCTTTCCTTTCCGTCGGAAGAGAAAAATATTGCAGGCATGCAGAGAGTTCTTTTTAAAACTTTATTGCAACGAAGGGAACGGAGAGGAACAGTTTCCTTCCCATCCTTCTGTTCACCTGAGCACATGTTCACACACCCCTTTTGAACCCTGCTCCCGCAGCTTGTTCCCTCCTCCTTTCCCCTAATTGGCTAATAGGGTACTGAGAGTTACATTCTTTCCGCCCTGCCCCAACACCGGCCCTTCTTCCCAATCCAGCGGTGGGCTACAATAGGCTCATTTTGTTCTGCCCAGCTTGTCAATTAAACAATCAGGAAGCATTTGGCTCTCCTGCCTACCTGCCTGTTTTCCTATACCTTGTGCTATACGATTTTGACCCCTCCCCACCTTTGAGCTAAGTAATTTTCTTTGTTACTTTTTTAAATCTCTACTCCCTTATTTCAAATCATCCTTTCCCACCTATCAAAGGCACAACCCAGACATATTTAGAAAGAAAAAAGTTCTACAACACCCAGCATTTCCCAACTGGGAATCTATTCTACCTTTAGTCTTCAAGACTTGCCATGCACAGAGTTGTTGACTCTTTTTGGGCCCACCTTTTCCTTTTCTTAGGGCATGCTGGCTGGGGTATGGGGAGAGTTTTGATAGACTCATACGTTGGAAGGGGCCTCGCTGGCCGTCAAGTGCCAGGACATCCAACTTTCAAACCAGCCGCACCCTGCTCAGCTTCCAAAATAAAGCAGGATCAGGAACTTCAGGCTAGGCCTTTTTCTGTCTAAACATGCACTTTTAGAGTTTAAGACTTAGACCAGCCCCTAGGGATCTAAAGAGTGCCACATTTACCTCGATGGATCCCTGTTATATGTGCAGCCATCACCTTTTATTTCATTTAGACTGGCTTGCTTCAAGCAACGCTAAAGCTTATTAAACTTGTATGTAAAACCATCCATCTTTTTGGCAGTTACAAATTAGAGGGCTCAGAGCAGCACTATCTTGATTTAGTGGGTCTCTCCTTGGCAATTTGAGGCCCACTAAATTATACAGTACACATTAGCAGTTCAGCATGTGTGTGATGTGCCATATGTTATATGCTTTAAATATGGTGTTTGCTTTCTTTTTCTGTAGGCTTTTTACATTACCAAATCTTCAGGGCCTTGATGTTTCTTATAATGAAATTGAATCTCTCTCTAGTGATATTGGAAATCTCAGGTATCGGAATAATTTTCCTCCTATAGTATAGTACTTGCATGAAATTGGTCAAATAGATTAAAGAAATGAAAACCAGCAATATTAACAATCTGGCATGCATGACTGTCGACCTATTATAACACTTGTAAGGCAGAATGCCTTGGAACTGCACAGCACTGAATTAGAACAAAGCCTTTTATAGTTTGCCTCATTCTCTAGAAACTTTCTCATAGCCCTGCTCCCTTCCCTAGGGTGGGAATTTTCCTCCCTCTTTTCCTTCCTTATCTAAGGATGGCCCTTTCAAGATGCAGCTCCAACATTCATCCTTGGACTGGTTCCTTCTTGTTCTCTCTTATCTAGAAGTCTCCTATAGCTACAAACACACACATTTTCTCTTTAACCCTACATTGAGGGTTAAACCCTACAGAAGAACTGTATATTTTGCTGAGGTACTGGCAGTAAACACAGTAAGCTAAAATGTGCTGGTATTTTTAGCCATTTTTCCTTGCCCACTTTTCCCCACCCTTTTACCTTCAGCCCCATCCACCCCTACAACTTGGCCATGGGAAACCTTCTCCAAAATGGAATTTGGCCTTGGGCCTGCTTTACAAAGTGGTGTGTGATTTTTCTGGAACTGCCCACTGATAATAAATTGTGCCTTTTGGAAAATTTTGAACAAAAAGCTTTTGAAAACAGTGTATACCAGGGGTCTCAAACTCAACTTACCTGGGGGCCACTGGAAGTAGAGTCTGGGTGAGGCTGGGCCTCATCAAGTATTCCACCACCGCAGTGGTGGTGGGCCGCTCATCCCACGGCTGGCCCGAGTGCTGCTGGCGCTTTGAAGGCCGCAGGGCCCCTCCCCTGTGCCCCGCCCATCCCAGCAACTGGCCCACGGGCGGCGAGTTTGAGACCCCTGGTATATACATTCTGTGTGCTGTTCAGTACCTACTTAAGCCAAACAAGGACGGATTAGGAAGGCTTAAGACAAGCTTTGTTTTGCACTTGTGTGTGATATCAGAATATCCCCTGTGTATGAACTAGTTTATGCAACAGAGCCCACAGCTGGTCTATTTTGTGCCATGGCCAAAGGACAGCATCCTTTTCGGGATCTCAACCAGGGTCTTTCCCAGCCTTGCTGTCTAAGATTCCTTTTAGCTGGAGATGTAAACAATTGAACCTGCAAGCTCTGGGTGTCCAAAGCTAAGTTTTGCCCCTCCAGTACAATTGTGTTTAAAGAACAGAATTCGTGCTGTACTCACCTGGCATTCTGCTTGTTAGAAGCACTGCTGGGTCCTGCATCCAAGGCACCAAATTACCTCTGCACAAGACACTGTTAAAAAAAATAGTCCATAGCTGCAGACTGAGACAGGCTTGGACTGATGGTTTATTATCAGTGAAAAAAACATGTCAAGAACTTCAAATAGAGGAGGGATGGACAGCCATTTTGACCTTGACCTCATGCAGTGATGATTGGTCAGCTGGAGGGGGTGCATGCACACCCCCATTTGCTCACTCACTCTCCTCTCCTTCATCTCAGCATGTGGCAGTTTGGAGGCTTATACTGTACTTCTGTTTGCTGCACACTGATATTTCATTGTACCTCTTCGCTTATACCACTCTGAACTGGGCAGGGATGCACACACACACACACACACAATTTAAATTGGGTGGGAAAGCATGCCAGGATTACTCTTTCTGTATGCCTCCCTCCCCCATATTGTGCTTGATGCTGCTAGCCAAACAGCTGCTTTTCAGGGTTGGTGGACTGCAAGGGTGGCTATCCCTACATGCTTGCCTTCCCATCTGGCACATGCACCACATAGGGCGGCCAGGTGCCCTACTTTACAGACAAATGGTCCTCTATCTGAAAGTGTCCTCTGTTTGAAGGGCTGTCCAGTCCAAGTTAGGTTTCCAAAGAAGGAACCCAAAGAAACTCTAAGAAGGGAATGCAGAGACCTTGGAGTTGTCCATCAGTACTTATCATCTGATCAGCAGGCTGAGTGAGCACACAGCTCACCTGGTCACAGGCTTCCCCACTCTGGTGAGATGCATTATATTTCTTCTTTATATTATGCTCAGGGTGGGCCAACTTTTCGTAACTTGAGGGCCACATGAGGACTTTGACATGGAACCCAGGGGCTGCACAATGAATTACATTTCCATATCATACATGAAATGGTCCACAGTCTATTTAATTTAATATACACAATTAATATATTTAATTAACCATTAAACAAGGGAGAAAACCAGTATGAAGTCTCAGAGCTGGCTTTTCTCTGCAGCTCCTTCTCCAACCACAGCCCAAGCACAATGACCACTCCTCTGGGGTGGCCCATCCCTTTCTTCCTTTCTCCTTTTGTCCAGAAACCCTCCCATGTGACCCCCCACCCCCTCCTTCCTTCTTGGAATTGGTGTGCTGAGCCTTTTGTACTTGAGCAGAATTCCCACTCTTGTTGATAATCACAAAGGCAACTTGGCGCTCATCAACCGGAGTGGCCTGGGGCATGCCGAGGTGAGCTCTCCTGAGGCTGCCAACCCAACCCTCTCTCTTCCTGAGCCTCAAGTCCTTGCAGACTGCATGCTGGGCTGCCCCATACTAACTCTTTCAAAAGTTGGCTCTATGCATATAAATTAGCATGTGCATTTTGTACAAACCCTTGCCTTCCTTTACTGCAACATGTTGTGGGCCAACCTACCTATCACCCAGCTGAGTGGCAGAGGTGGGAAGTAGTAAATTAGGTGGCAGGTGCTTTTATGGGCCTGCACAAGCAAAATTGAAAACTTCCACAGGCCACTCATGTGTGCCATGAAACAGCCTTTATAGTGACCACACTATCTTCTGTGCACGTAAGAGGCCAACTGTACAAATCTTGATGCTGAAGATATGTACAAATGACTTTTGGATTATCTGTTGACCTGTAAATTTTCAGAAGCCTTACTTACCTGAGTCTAGAAGGGAATCTACTGTATGTGTTGCCCTGTGGGCTTTTGAAACTTCAGCTGAGCTGCCTCAAGGTGGAAAACAACTTCTTACATGCTTACTTCTGGAGTGAAATCTGCCAGCTTCAGCCACAACGACTCACCGACATGGCTGCGCTTTGTTTCGCCAAGCACAAGCTGTGGGACAAATATCATGAGATTTCAAAGGCCATTCAAGGGTTATTGCAGAAGTAAGTAAGAGAGAGGCCTCCATCGTTACCAAAGCTTGCCAGGGTAATATTAGGTCCAAGAATTTCCTCAATGATGATGTCAGCAGAAGGTTCCCCTCTTTCTCTGAAATATGAGGATGTGATGCATTGCTGACTTCACTGGTTTTAATAGATTCCTATCGTGATATGTGAAGTGCTCGGAACATTCCAAAGCATTATCTAAATACTAGGGGTTAATAACCAGATCATCCTACTGCTCCAGCTGTAAGCAGCACTTTTTGTTCCTACTTGGTGGGTGAAGTGTAACATAGAATACATCTGCCTGTCTCCCCATTTTAGCGTTACAGTCTGTGATTGCTGCTTGGGACCCTTGTATGGAAACGGTCTTCGGTTCCTTCGCATTTATAAGAACATCTATGGACTCAGACTTCCTTATCTCTTTCATGCTTGCTCACCAACCTGCTACATGGACTATGTGTCTTTAGCTGCCTCGGATTGATGGATATCCCCCTAGCAGTTGAGCTGGTAACTTGCTGAATAAAGAGCTAAGTATTGCATTTGATTGCATGCAGCTGTGACTCTTGGTCTAATGATACTAGTGATATTACTCAGTGCAAAAATTAGCTGGCATAGACTGCACTATTCCTTGTCTCCCTAGCAGGAACAGGACTATCATAGACAGGGTTTCTTTTGTGCTGTATTTCAATTTGTTTCATATGCCTGATATTTTTATAGACTAGATGGACAAAGCATATTGATTAACTGTATTAACATTACTTATGCTGACAATCTGAATATATTAGAATTGGAAATGCAATTGTACAAATAAGAGATTACAATCTTAGCCTGAAAGCAATTCATACAGTTAATTAGAATCTCCTTTTGTTGGCAACAAGCTACATTTTTACTATGCCAATTGTAAATGCAATGGGGTGGTTAAAGGAAGTCCATAAATTGATATTTAGTAGTGCTGAACATGTGTTCAAAATGTGTGATACTACATTTACTGCTATAGTTTCTGTCTTTCCAAGCCATAATAAAACCAAGTGCCATTTATTCACATGCTGCTTGATGAAATCATTTTATTGCTACTTTGGAGTAGGCAAAACTGTAGAACTCTGGTTATTCTCACAGACTTATGTGTATGTGCATGTCTACATACAAACAGGAAATGTATATTGATTGCACAACAAGAGGAGTGTCCTGCTAAACACTATTTAAGCTGCTACTTCAGTGTATTAATAGAAATGAGCAGAAAACATTCTCACTGGCAAATCTGAAAGCTAGATTATGTTGGTGGTGGTTTAGAGTCTTAGGGTGTGCCTGCACAATCTGTTGCCGTATATCTGTAAAATGTTTTTACAGCAGCTTACCTATTCCCTTTTATTGTGGCACTGCACAACCACCTCCTGTTTGTAATCCATCCTTTTTTTAACAACCACAACCAGCACCAGCTTTGTCAGCTTTTTGAGATGTGTTGGAGGGTTTGAGATTGTGTTACATTAACATTTGACCACAATGTAATATCTAATGCTTAGACTTCATTTCATAAAAACTCTCTCTCTGCTCCTGTTTCTTCTTTACTTATATATTTTCCCCCAACCACTATCTTTCTGATAAAGTGGAACACTTCAGTTGGTGCAGAATAGAGCTGCCAGGTTGCTGACAGGGACTGGGCGTTGTTCTCATATAACCCCAGTTCTCCGTCAGCTTCACTGGCTCCCGATTGAAGTCCGAACCCAATTCAAGGTGTTGGTTATGACCTATAAAGCCCTCAACAGCTTGGGACCTGGTTATCTAAAGGAACGCTTGCGTCCATATATGCTCTCCTGCCCCAGATCGGCAGCAGAGGCCCTCCTCTGGGAACCCTCCGTGAATGATATTAGGAGGGCGAGTACCCGGAGGGCGGCCTTCTCTACGGTGGCGCCCCACCTATGGAATGCGCTCCCCAGAGGTCTGCCTGGTGCCATCGTTATTTGTTTTTCAGCGCCAGGCTAAGACCTTTTTATTTAAAATTTATTTTAATTGTTAATATTATTTATTTATAGGATTTTAAATTTTTAAGCCAAGATGTTACCAGGCTTTTTAATCTTTAATTGTATTGTTATTTCTATGTTTTAACTATGCTGTGAGCCGCCCTGAGGCTTTGTTGCGATGGGGGCGGCGTAGAAATGTTTTAAACAAATACAGAAACAATAAAATTTGTTGCAGCATCCAAGGTTCTTTGCCTTGACAAAGTAAGAGAGTCTCCCCTCTGGAATGCACAAGGAAGAAAAGACTCTAGGTCTTCTTCAGGTTTGCTCAACCATTTACAAAGTATTTTGTAGCAGCTACAAAACAGGAATTTGATTGCCTCCCCCCATCAATGGCACTTGGCCTGTCTCACTTCTACTCCAGCAAGAAGTCTGTGCGAAAAGAGTATTTCTTTCCTGATGGTTTTCACCTTCAAGGGCTTCCACTTCACTTCTACGCCTATAAGAAGCAAGCATGCAAAGCAGTGTAGCCACATGGATTCGTGTGTGTTGTGTTTGAATCCAAAGAAGATCCTTCCTCAAAGAAACAAATGTGTGAAATAGCTGCATTTTATCCTCAGAACAACCTTGTGAAGTAGGTAAGGCTGAGAGAGCAACTTATCCAAGGAGCTGCATGGCTGAGATGGAGAGGCAGAAATTCAAGTTGCTAGACAGTTTCGCCCCCTGCTTCTAAATCCTGCTTCTAAATACAGGGTACAATACAACATTATCGTATATAGAGAGATGCATAGTATGGCATAGAGGTTAGTGTTGGCCTGGCATTCAGGATCTCACCATGGAATTTCAGGATGGTTTGTTGCCCCAAAAGAAGCCATCCTGTGGGAAGCAGTCTGTATTCTGACAATACAGTAGTCCTCTATATTTAAGAATGGGCTGTTGTGTTGTGTGAACCCAACCACTGTTTGGCTGAAGCAGGGATATCATAATATCATAGCTCAGACTGCCAGTCCTGCTTCCAACTGTGTTGCTGAGCAAAAAGTAACAGCAATATTCCCAAGAGAGGTTACAGTCATTCAAAAACAAGAGAAACATATTCAAACATTTATTCAGAAAAGCAAAATCAGGACTGCAATAGGCATTTACTGCATACAATGTATTCCTTATTTCCTCTTATATCTTCAATTGTTCTGTATGGTCAGAGGATGCCCATGGCAAGTACTCTTGTCAAGCATTGAGGTATTTTGCATGGTGCCTGATATGGTCATTAATGAATGTCGCTATGAAGTAGTAACTGTGATCATAGCCCTGGAGAGAAGAGAAGAGAAGAGCAATCACTTGCAGAAGGCAAGCTGATTATTTATTGCAGACTGTCAAGGTGTCTTCAAAACCCTCCCTAGCCTGGTGCCCTCTGGTTGTGTTGAACTGCAACTCCTGTAATCATGGGAGAGCCAGGGATGATCCATAGGGTGATCCAGGAACTGGAAACAAAGCCCTGTGAGGAGAGAGTGAGAGAACTGGGCCTGTTTAGCCTTGAGAAGGGAAGACTGAGGGGAGATATGATAGTACTCTACAAGTACTTGAAAGGCTGTCACAAAGAGGAAAGCCAGAATCTCTTCTCAGTCATGCTGGAGTGCAGGGCACAGAATATAGGCTCAAGTTACAGGAAGCCAGGTTCCAGCTAGATTTTAAGAAAAAAAATTCTGACTGTTAGAGCACTACAACAATGGAACTAATTACCTGGGGAGGTTGTGGGCTCTCCCACACTAGAGGCATTCAAGGTGCAACTGGACAGCCCTCTCAGAGAGATGGTCTAATTTGGTATCCTGCACTGAACAGGGAGTTGGACCCAATGGCCTTCTGGCCCCTTCCAACTCTACTATTCTATAATTCTATGATGCTGTGATTCTATGCTGAATGTTCAAAGATTGTTTTTGAGTTGCCTTAGGATTTTGTGTGTTAATAGGAACTGTAGAGATATATACAGAACAATTAAAACATTGCCTATACTTTCCATCAGAAGAGGGGAGAGCTACCATCATCCTTTACTACTACATCATCCTTTACTTCCGCCTGGCGCCGTCGTTATTTGTTTTTCGGCGCCAGGCGAAGACC